GCTATGATATTTAAGCTATTTAGACTAAACATTTATGTTTCTGAGATATAATTTATAGTCATTCTAGAACTAAAAAAGCATTATTTATATTTATTTCCTAAGTTCTTATAGTGGTTACAAGGTCGGTCAAATCTACCTGTACAGAGATTTGATATTTAAAATAACAGATAAAATATGAAGGTTTTTTCTTTAAAAACATTTAATAATTATCAGTAGGTTATAAAGACTGTGCATGTGAAATTTGAAACTTTTCTGACTCATAAAAGTATTTTTAATCTTAAAATGAAAATTACTTTGCATGTCGGATAGGCAACATGTAAAAAGAAAATGCACAAGAAAAACACTGCTTAACAAAGCTTAAGATTTAATAAAAAAATTGTATATCTTGCATACAAAAGCCTTGTAATTTTTATTGATAATCTACCAAATTTCGTGAACATGCACTTACTAATTTAAAAGTTATAGCATGAAAACTATAACAAACACAAAATGGTTACAAGGTCAGGCTCAGGGACTGAGCCCATGCTGAAAGAGTAAATCTAGTTCAAAGGTAAACTGAACAAATTTATGTGTCAGTGTGGTTCAAAAATACATGTAATAAATATTAAGTAAATTTTTCTGTAGCTCAGTTGTTGCACATAAATCAGATCTATTGTGTGTTAATGTATTATTATTATTGTGCATGTATAGTTTAACCCACTGACTGCTGATTTGCCATATACGGTGTATGGCTTGCAAAAATTCCAGTTGCATTTAGAGCAGATGCAGTCACTGGGTTAAAAGTGTACAGACCATGATTTTTATAGGATATAATGCAGATTTACTCATCAGATATAAAATGACAGTGTGTTTAAAAGTACACAGGGCATATATTATGCAATTGTTTTTACAGTTCAGATGAACAAAGAATAGATATTAGAATAATATATGTCCCTGTGGCTCAGATGCATAGAGATATTTTAAATTCCTGCATAGTTGATAGATACAGAGAAGTTTTTACACGAATGACCTATTTCAGACATACCTAAACACTTACAGAATTGCAGCTGTAGTTTCTGCATGTGAGTATGTATAGATAATTATGACACAGAAGTAATAAACATCATATATGTAATTTATTAATATGGCATCTACTCCAAATGTTCTATGAATAGTTCAAATATATAAGACATATATCAAGTTTCTTAGGTAACATACAAGTAAAGGAATGTTAATATCATTTCTCTCACCTATTTGAATGCTGAAGCTAGCAATAATATCTAGTAGTTATACAATGTAGCACAAGACATCATTAAAGAACTTAACGTAATTCGTATAAATGTAACACATATTTCAAAATATAATTTTAAAGCAGTTTAATTTCAAAACTCTCTTTGAATATGCTTTAGGTATGTATACACACTAAATGCAATAACTATATATATCAAATTTTCATACCTGCAAAATAGTTTTATCTGTTAAAATTTTCATAACCTGTTGGAATGCTTCTTTACTAGTTCCCAGCTTCTGACAAGTTTCCAAGAGAACTTTGTCTTCCTCCCTATTGGTGAAATATAAAAGTTAAAAATGGATCATGTGTTACAGCATACATTTTAACCCACATCTTTGGCACAATGTTACATTATACACTAATGGCATGAACCTAAAACCTAACGATCATTAACTAATACCAAATATCTTGAACTGTTAAAACAATGTATCATCTTTACTCCATAATGCCTCAAATATGAACTTTTTTTTGTCCTTGTGCCAAGTTTTAAGTGATGCTTCACCATTCACTTTACTGTATTTCCTCTGTGCCACATATATTCAAGTCAGAAGATGGTTTGTAGAGACTTGCATTCTCATAAAAATTTATAAACTCAACTAGTATAATATAGTTTAGGCAAATAACAAACAACATACTAAAATAAGTCAAATTCAGTTAAATTTCTATCTTTTTATTGTAATATTAAGAGAGAAGCCAATTGTTCTAACCCTCATAACACATTGAGTTTTAACTGATTCCTAGTTTTTTTTTGGTTCAGTCTAATATTATATGTATGGAATCTAACTTGTTAAAGAAAACGATGAGAATCTTCAAGATTGCATTTAAATATCACTTTCATCACAAACCAAAATATACTGCTTTAGATCTTATTTCAAGAATATTTCCTTTTTTTATGCTATTCTCTCTAACTTTACATTCTTGAGCTCATTATTATTATGTGATGTTCATTTGGCATGTAACCATTTAACTGGATTATATTGAAAGGGCATTATATTATCATTATTACTTACTTCTTGAGTGACAATATAACTTATAAATCTTACTTATTTGACTTAGTATCCGATATACCAAAATATAAAACAACTTAAAATTCTTTATTTTTTAGTTTAATCAAACATTTGTGTTCTATTAGTCCTGAATTATCTTCAATAGCAATAAAAAACTATAATTTTAATGTAGATTTGAAAAGAGGAACATCATGATAGAAACTGACCAAACATACAACTTTTCATACATTTAATCAAATCATGCAGTACTTTGTGCTACCTACAAATGTTAAAAAAACTGTTAATCTTTATAACATTTCATACAATTATTTTTTTCTTCTGCATTAATATACTGTGCTATATACAAAATATTCTTGAAATATCTTAATGCAGTTCACCAATGATATAATTTATAGATTCCAAAATGTCCAACAAGTGGAAATGTTTGTAATGAACTAGTGGTACTGTTCCCATTTTCTGATTTTGTTCCCTTTGATTTCTACCCAATAAACCCATTTCTAATACTAATGTATTTTTATGACTAACCAGTCTTTTATATGATTATCATAAACCCATTCGATTATAAACTACACTGAGAAATAAGTTTTGGCTTAGTTGACATCTGAGTTAGAACTTTGTGGGTTTGAAGATGAGGCAAATTTTGTGTAGTGTCATTGCTTCACACCACTTACACATACAATATGAAAGAACATTACTTCTGTTACCTAGTTTTATTTTATACTTTATTTGATTATTTTCTAAAGTCAGGATACATATTCTCCTTTAAATAACAATATAATTTTATTCTTCATCCTTTGCAAATTTTGAGCATTGAGATTATATTTATTCTACTTAGCATTCTTAACAATAAAAACATTAACATGTTAGTTATTAATACATTAAGCTACAGAGTTTATTTGTTTCATATTATTTTATGATAATAAATTAACTGTGTGCATTTTGAAAACTTAGGTGAAATAGTTTAGTAGATATTTTTGGGAATACATTAAAACCACCAAATGCATTAACAAACTTTTTCACTGACTATCACAAGGGGCTTAAAGAAATGGCCAAATAATTGTCATAAAATTAGAAGACACAGACAAAGCAATTGGGGGGAGGACGATAAACAACCCATACTTGTATGAGGACTTATGGTGATTGATTCACTCTAATCCAAAACCTCTATGCTGGGAACTGACTTCCACACAAAGGTAGGATGAGGTCTCCAGTGGTTGTATAAATGGTGTCAGGAGGCCACGTCATCCAGTAAAGAGACGACTCAGCTCCAGTGTTATTCTGTAAACATGATCAGGAAGCCACGTCATCCAGTAAGAAGACGACTCAGCTCCAGTGTTATTCTGTAAACATGATCAGGAAGCCACGTCATCCAGTAAGGAGACATCTCAACTCCAGGGTTGTTCTGTAAACATGATCAGGATGCCACGTCAACCAGCAAGATGATGCCCCAAATCCTGTGGAGGCCACATTACATCTACACCAGCAAAACACCACCGCCCTACTCTCAACTAAATGGTTGCAACCTCTTCCTTGTGGAATGCATTCAGGAGGGTGCCTCTGTGGTCAACAGCCCCAGTGGCTTGGAACTGGAAATGGTAAAGACTCACATACTCCACTCGAGGAAAGTATGATGACAATGTGGTGGAGAGCCTGGAGGAACATCATCACCAGAGAAAGTACAATGGATGACCAAGAAACCTTATTTTGAAAAGCAGACCATACTGAGTTATTCACTTGAGGCATGGGAGGGATGGCAGCAATCTCCTTCTGCTTTACCCATGTAGTCCATGGGTGGTATGTACCGGAACAGGCTTATTTATGAAGCAAATTATAGCGAGGTAACTAACTGTGAAGTGATCTTGTGGAACATCCCATCTCGAGTGTGCAAAGCCATGGACAAGGGAGCATGAATCAACATGGCTGACAGTGCAAATTTAGAGTTAAAGTACACCTAGTCAGGCGCCACTTGCCACAGAGCAGGATCCATGTGATAAAAAAAGGAAAGAAACATTCCTGAAAAAAAGAAAAGAAAATGAAGAAACCTTACCAGTTAAAGTTGCACCAAAATCTGGAGAATGGCTACAGGTGGTAGAAGAAACCCCAATGCAGAGTAAAGCTCAACACAATGAAGATACTGGGAGTGGTCCACATGCTGGATTGTAAAATCTTCTCCATCAGATGATGAAGATGAGAAGTGAGGGAAAAGGTGAGATGTCTGATCTGATAGGAGGAAACATGAAACAATGTACAGAAGGAAGAAGGCAGGGAAAAGTAGGCCAAACAAACCAAAAGGCAGACCCAAATCATGAAGGTAGAAGATGAAAGATCACAAAGTGAGGAGGATTGCAAGGGGATAAAAAGTCAGTTGCGTGTACCCAAAAATGTAGCAGTACATGATGTATAACAACGAAGGGCACTGACCAGACACAGAAGTATATCTAGATTCAGTCTAGAGCAAAGATGGGATATAGAAAGAAAAGAAATAGGAGAAAAGGATGAATAACCCTTCTAAGGTCTTAGAGAAAAAGAAACGATTATGATAAAGGGTATGTGACACATCACTGGCAAACAAAAGAGAAGAATGGAATATGTTTTAAAGGGCTGATGAAACAAGGAGCATCAGGAAAGTGGTTCAAACAGAGGTGAAGTGAGTGCATGGAGGATCACATTAATGTCCCAATCCAGAAGGGCAGGATGCCTTGAAATCTAGAAGGAATGCATGAACACAGGAAGAACAGGAGAAATTATAACCCTACAGTATCAGGAAAAATGGAAGATATGGGTTGGGCCACCCACTATTTGAAAAATGAGGAGACTGAAGACCCATATTGAGAAATTCCATTACACGTGCCATAGAAGGATTGTCAGCAGGAAATCCCCTGTTAGCAGACCAACAGCAGGAGACATTCCACTCATGCTGGTATACTTCCATGAAAGATGGTCATAAGGAATTAACTAACAAGGAGGCAACTCGACATGTGAAACCAGATCATCTTGTCAATGACTGAACAAAAGCCAGGCGTAAAGATACAGGATGGGGAGATTGAGATGTAGAATGTGAGATTGACATTGCAAAGGAGGGAGGGAGAAAGTGGAAGAGGAACAGGTGGTGATAGGAGCAGATGTTGTAACCTTGTACACCAAGGTTGCAATCAGGAGGACTCGAAAAGGAGTGGAGTGGACAAAAGAAATCACCCAAAGATGCAATCAGATTTAAGAGTATCCATATCTGTGTGACCAATCCTGGCTGAAGGCATCAAGCGCCAAAGCCTGTGGATGTGGTACAGGTAACCAAAAGAAGGACGACTTGGTAATGGGGGTCCATGGCAAAAGCATCCAATTAGGGAGAACCCCATCAATGGCAAATGTCCTGAAAATGAGAGGATCTAATGCCCACTCCATTGGATAGATCCAATCTGGGCACAAAAGATGATCTGTGACTAGACTGAAAGCACCTGGCACATGACATGCAATAAGATGAATGAAATATGCATGGGTTCAGTATAATAGATCCAAGATCCAAAAACATAGATGTGAGGGAGAAAGTGGCATACCCACTGACATATGGGCTTTGTCCAGCCACCACTGTAGATCGTCTTGCAGGGAAGGAGGAGAAGAAATGGTGAGGGAAAGAGAATCCCGAACAAGGTTTCATCATTCATAAAGCACCCACTGCAGGGATCTCATGTGGGCACAACTAAAAGGGACCAGTGCAGTCATGGAAGACCACATCCCCAAAAATGATAGAACCTTGCGAACAGTAAGTGACTGAGCTGAGAGGGCATGGTGAATTAAAAGTTCCATGCAACAAAGATGTAAAGGAGAAGACAGAGTCTAACTAATATTGGTGTTAAAAAAGACCCTAAATGGACAAGATATTGAGTGAGTCAAAATAATGACTTCTCCAATTTGATCAACCAGCCCCCCCCCCAAGCTGCCACAGAAAGGAGTTGGTGAGTATGAGTGGCAGGTTCCTGTTCAAAATGAGCCAGTCAGTCATGTAATAATGAATTCACATTCCCAGAACATGAAGATGATGAGCAAAAGCCCAGACTATGTGACAAAACACATAAGGAACTGAGGCAAATCTGAAGAGGAGGGCCCAAAATTGGTAAACCACCCAAGATGGACAAACCAAAGATAAGGTCAAGATGGATGTGCTATCAGGATGTGGTGGTAAGCATTGGAAACATCCATTTTCATCATTCACAACCCTGGGAAAAATGCCCATCTCAGGGTGAGAAAAGACTCCATGGTGAACTT